GTATGGGAGAATCTTGACCTCGGTCGTGTGTACAGACCTCACTGCGTTCGGTCTGTACTCACGACCTCGGTCAAGATTCTCCCATACAGACCTCTAGCTCGGTTAATAAGAGCTAAATATTAGCGGAAATATCCGTCGACGTCTAGTCGGCCTTCCATGTTCAAAGAGATTGTTATGTTTATTTACCTATACTCATACATTTACGTATTTTCTGTTGCAGTATTTTTTCAGAAATGGTGCTAATTTAATTCTCCTGGGAACAAATTCAACTAAACACATGAAACTACATCACCAATGCGGTGTACTTAAAAGGAATGTCCCAACGAACTTCACAATCACGTGACCAGGATTCAAGTCAAAAAGCCATGGTTGCACACCAGGACAACTTAACCGACGCCCTTAATTCTCTGGGCCTGACAAAAGGCTCCACAAACTTGTCCCCAGAGGCAAAAAGACACCATGAAAATGTTGCCCTTTACATGTTCATCGGCCTCGTGGCGGCATTTCTGTTCATTGCAGCTATTATCATCACTGTTGAACTCTACCGGAGTGGACGATGCTTGAAAAATGTTAAACGGAAAGGAGATAAAGGGAGAACTAGGTTAGACAATGATGATGATGACGATGATGAAGATTATTCAGAAATCGAGATGAACGATTTATGAATGTAGACCAATCACAGGGGTTTGTACGGTGTAATTCAGTCTAATGTGATAAAGAAATGCGATCCTCGCAAAAGGTCAGTGGTCCAACTAAAATGCGGGGAAGCTTGGAGTTGTTCAAGGTTGCAAACCTTAAAGGTTGATACGCCTTAAAACTTGTCAGGAGTCGAGGAATCTTTGTTCACCATGGGGTAGCTTGCGTTTTTCTCAGTAGTGCTTTTGGAAACTTCATTACTGATCAAAAGACCACGTGCAGTGACAAACTCACATGCATCGGAGAGAAACGACAAATTCGATCTCCGAATCAATGCTTCAATGATGTTCGTGCATGCGCAATGCCATTTCCGTGCACTTGAGAAAGCCAAGGCCATTCAGCTAGCCTTAACGTGATTCAAGCCTTCAACAAATATGCTAACAAGAGTTTAGGAGTTAAGGACTTTGTCGGGGAACCAAGTATCAAGGATGTATGGATTGCATTCTTGCGCCGATATTAAGCAATGTCTCAGTGAAACCGAGATAACTGGAACATGCACTTGTATAAAACAAAACGTCCTACGTTTATACACGACTTGCTTTCAGCTAGGAACATCACCTTGGTAAAGATTGCGAACAATCATAGAAGATACTGACCGACCAAAAGGCTCTTTTAAACAAAGATCATTTTCGTTCAAATCCTGGTGAAGTTTAGCAGAGGAATTTTGATTTTTGATTTTTCTCCCGAGAGCCAAACTGGCGGTTTTCCGGTCGGTAATTATAATGATACTGTGATCATATTATTTCAATCAGGCAAGATATCAGACCTGCATGATGATCATATCATATTGATTGATCAGTCACTCTGTTATATAGGTCTGCATTCTTTTAACACCTTATCAGTCTAAAGAACAAGTGCTACACCGAGATTTTGCTGATAATCGCACAGTATTCCATACAAGTTCCGTCTCCAGACATCAATTCTTGACTAATTTAGTAACACTTACCAGGAGCACTCGTGAGTCCATAATCTAATTATCCGTTAACTATGAAAGATAACAGAGAGGTCTGTAGGTTCTGTGCAGGTTTACCGAGATATCCACAGACGAAAAAACAATCTTTATACATAAGTTAGAATCAATAGAAGGAAACTGTGTTTTGTTGTAATAAAGAAACTGGCTGCAAAACGTACTGGTTTTCACAAGGACTTCATGTTGGCTAATATTGGGCAATGTTCTCCGTCTAACAAAAGCTATGGGTCACTTGAAGAAACTATGTAACCTGAAATTTTCTTAATCGTTTCATGACAGTGTTATAGTCATGATTGTCAGCTAATATCAACCAAGTTTTTGCTCATTAAATTTCTAGGGCGTTTCCAAATGAACGTAAAAACTCCTTATTAACGGTTCCTAAGGATGTTGAGAGACACTAAAATGAATCTAACTGAAGATAACAGTTATCTGTATTTGGAATCCTCGTTACTTACTTCGTACCTGAATTATATGACTTAAGGGATATTGTACTGGACATTGCTTTCAGACGAACCCCTAAATTCTCCCAACTGACATAAAGGAAATGTGTGGCAATTGTTAGGGAGATTTGAAAGATTTAAAACTTTATGATCATTTGCTTACACAGGTTTGGACGGTGCATGTTTGGTGTCTGTGTTTAGCATTAATCACACATTTAGAGTACATCCAGTTCCCTTTTGAATCGATGATAGTTGATTCGCGCATATCTGAGAGATTGTCTCTAATGATTACATAAAAGCTGTATGTAGGCTGCAAAAATACGACTGTTAATTAATTTTGACGTGTACGCATGAGCGACCTTACTCTCTATAGAGACAAAATTAAAAACCCAACTCATGAATGCATTCAGTTTGTCTATACGGCTCGAAAGGGCCAAAATGGAACCTTTTTTTTTCAACTAAAGCTGTGATAAGGTTGAAACTCAGGTCTGTTGAAATCAACTATTAAGTTAAGAGTAAGAATGAGCTTGGATTTCGCCCACAAAACGAAATTCTGGAACCTTGTAGAAATAGTTACAACAGATTACTCGGGGTTCTTTCATATTGAAGGCTCGTAGGTTCAAAACCCCGTCCCCCATTCCCATCCGTCAGCTGGTTATTTCTAGCAAAACACGAGAAAACCATAGCTAACCACAGGGGTAGTGTGTGGATCACTTTGTTATTACTTCCGTGTATCCAATATGGCGCTGAGTTGCAATCTTCTAAAGTCATCAAAATTTGTAAAAAATGAGACAATTCTGTTCAAAACTAAAGGAGTGGAATAACATACCTCTTTATTTTCATAGTCTTAAGACATTATTTTTCAATTCACGCTGGCAGAAACCGGAATATCGTTCAAGCCCTGAGGGTGATTTTATTTTTAAATCTGAAACCATTAATTATCATGTCAATCGATAACAAGGTACCATATTCAAATAGGTTCTAGTTATTTCTAGTAAACATTTCTGCGTCAGGTGTATCACGACAGCGCAGAATTTAAGCTAGACGACGGACGCCGACGAATTCAAAGCTAGGTGAGTGCCCTCGCCCAAGCAAGAGTTACATACGACTTACATTTGGTGCCCAGAGGCATTTTTCAGTAGAACTTATTGTAGTCACTTGAGTGCACAGATTCTTCCGGCGGTGTTCTGCAACTTAGTTCGTAACTTAGAATAAAACACTGTAGCAGTTGATTTATTTGAAATAATGTACTCTGTCAAGAGAAAATCATTTTCTCTTGACTGTGTACAATGTATCTTCGTGTCAGATGGCAGTTCATTGGTGCTTATCAAATGAACAGGGCTGCTGAAGTAATGATCAGATATAGAATGGCGGGCTGTTTATTAAGTCCGGTCTAATTTGTATAAGTAATCAGGTTTCATAGCCAAAACATGTCGTCACGTGATAAATCATATCTTGCTCGCTATCTCTACCATGATTAAAACTTAGCAACATTTTATTTCCCACATATCTCCATGTCTACATTACTAATCCTAGCAGGTTGTCACATTTGATCCTAGTTACAGACAGAAGCCTGTACAAACTCTCTTGTAGATGTTGCAAAGTCAAAGTTCTTCATGCTGCTAACAAAATTCTGAATTTGTTTCCCCGAGTGGCTGTTTTACGGCTCTGAGCATTACAGATCAGATACAAGCTACAATTTCTTAGAGCCAACAACGTTCGTAAAACATCCTAGTCGATCAAGGTACATAAAATGGAATAATACAGCTGAGTGGAAGAAACAAATTGAACCTAGCCTGTTAGTGTACAACTGATGTAGCATTGTTCCTCTCGATCAGGAGTGATGCTTTTAGCTAATAATTCGCTGAGAGTAAAGAAATGTCTTGGAAATTTTTTTAAGTGGATTGGGTTGATGATGGCGCAATAGAGGGAGCGCCCCCCTCCCACCACTGTGGCCCGGGCTCGATTCCGGCCCGGTGCCATATGTGGGTTGAGTTTGTTTTTGGTTCTCCCTTGCTCCGACGGTTTTTCTCCGGGTTCTCCGTTTTTCTCCCTCCACACAAACCAGCATCTCCAAATTTCAGTTCGACTAGAATAGAAAACCAGCATGAAAACCAGCTAAGGCAGATGTGGCTTCCTCTCTAAATATTGTAATTTATTTATTTATTTATTTTATGATTTATTTTGCAAGAACTACAAAGAGGTGATTGCATTTAACTAAACATAAGTTCTTTGAGAATCAATAATATTGCTTTAGGAATGATAAATACTTGTATCTTCTGAGGCACATTAAGTCCAAGATTGTAAACAAGCATTTGTGAATGACATAATTACATGAAATGACTAATTATGCCCGCAAAACTAACCACAAAACACTTCCAAGAGAAAAGCTGTCTGATATTGCCCCGCCTACCTGATCACTAAGTTGTAAGCGTGCCAATTACTTGAAGGGAATGATGTAATATCAGTTGTTGACAAACTTTTCGGCGATTTTACCCCCAGCCCCCCGACTATGAGTTAAAATTCTAAACTTATTCTTAGCTATCGGTAAAAACGGGTCACTTCTTAGCTGATGATAAAAGTTTAGACCAAATGTCAGTTATCAGTTTGAAACCATTCAGACCGGTACCTCTAATCCAGAAGAGAAATCCTCTAAAATCTTCATCAAAATGTTCCATTTGCCACATAGACATGAAAAGGGTTGAATTCCCCTTTTGTTGTGCCCCAGATATAAGTTTCTGTTTCAAGCTATCTGTTTTTTTTTTCTCCACAGAACACACTCTTCCTGTTCTGTCGTCTCCCATGTTAGAGAAATGACGAGTGCCAAAGATTCACTAACCAAGACCAAAAGCTACGAAACGCCAGAAACCACAACGACTTCAGTGTACCGTGCACGTGCTTTAAGTGTAGGGTCGCAGCCAAGATGTAGTTCTGCGAAACCGTCCTATATATTTGAGGGAAGACGGCGATTTAGATCGCAATCAGAGTCTATTTGCCCACTTGGAACTTTAAGAAGTACTCCTTCGTTAGAGTGCCACATCAGCAGTGGACAAGAAGTGTGGAAATTGCCAGTAATATCAGGACAAACAGTTAAGTCAAACAATTTTGTAGATATAACACCAGATGCCTCGACAGTACCTCAGAGGAGAAGATCATGTGTTTTACCAGATCTGTCAAGAGGGCAGGAGGAGACAAAGTTTAGAGCAACACGTTTGAGGCAAGAACACGTTGAACAAGCAGACAACGGCTTTGATGCTTCGAAGAGCAAATCACAGAATTTGGCGAAATGGCTCCGCGATCAACCGCAACTATAACAAGATTTAAATCATGTCTTTAATCCTGACGGGATGTTTTTTTACGGATGAATGTTTATCCGTCATATAGAATTGTAACAGGAAAAAAATATCTTTATGAAGTGTACATGATGTTTTACGAGGATGAAGTTTAGTGACTTAGTCATAAGTTGATAGTTTAACCACTCAGTAATTGCTAACGTTTATTTCACAAAGAAGTTAGGGGGACAACTGATTTTCATATATTTTAAACTTTTTAAACTCTTACTTAATTAATCATGTTAATTTGTTTGGTTAGTGGCGTGATAGTAAATCAAACCCTAGTTCTCAGGCCCCGTCCTCACTAAGCCGGAGGATTTGATATACGCAACAATCACCGGCCATTTTGGATTTGTGTTTGAGGAAAACTCGGGTAGGGAAATCACACGATTATCGAGGCGTCATCGTTTTCAAGAAGTTCCGTTTCCAAAATGTTTTCCTTTCGCACGAAAACGCAAAGCCGGCTGTTTCAAATTCTTCCGGTTTGGAGAGCGTTTTCGAAAAGCTCCGTTTTCAAGACGGATTAGTGTGGACGGAAGGCCTAACCGTAGCAATAAAGCTGCGTTTTCAAATTTCTCCGGCGTGGTGTGGAAGCTGCATCGGACGTCCAAAGCATGAACTGAACAGTTTTCAAAGGAAGTGTTATCCGCTTTGGCAGGCAAATGAAAAGCTTTGCTGATTATCAACTTGAAATTAAAAGTAAGTCAACCGCATTAGAGAATTTGGGGAAAGCTACCGCACCCAGCTTTAGCCCTTCTCCCGAGCTCTGAAGAGATGCAAATTTGCATTGTCAAAAACAATTAAATTATCAGCTTAGTTTTTTCCATAACATCACTGTGAAGCGACTATAAGAGTATTTCGCACCCCTCGGATGCCACGCCCAGTATTTTAGTTCAGTGCCTCAAACAATTCACGGTGCCGGTTTTATGCCCCTGGGTGGAAAGATGTCACTGGCTGAGTAAAATAAATTTTGCCAAAGGCAAAACACTTGGCCATGCTATGAGTAAAGTTGAATACCGTTGTCTAGCGACCGTTGTCGTTGTCTAGACACTGACTAGTTAACAACTTCCCCCTTGTCCACTCCAGCTGTTGCCCTATGAAAACTGTCTCGGTGTAATTGATGAATTCCATTCACCGAAATACCGTCGCACTTGTATTAAGCCAGGCGTCCTTAGAGAAATTTGGGTGTGGTTCAAATAAATATTGACAAGTAATCAGACAGTGATAATTATCTGCCTCAAAGATTAGTAAGGGAAACTGTTGACCCGTTCAACAGATTAACAGTGTCACATGTGTGAAATTTTTATTTTAGAAAAAAATTAGAAATTGAAACTCGGAAGTGACTTTGTAAGATTTGGTTAGCGTATGCTGGACTACAATAGTGATAAAGTCTTTGCATCATTGGAAAATAGCTGTTCTGAGATAGGGTAGGAGTTTTTGGTTGTTAGTTTAGAACAGGGTTGCAAAATCAAGATTATCAAGATCTAGTATTGGGTAAGGGTTTCCGTGTACCAGCGGTACCCCCCTACCCAGTGATTTACAGAGTACCCCCGAGGGGATAGAAACCTCTCGTTGATTGGGTATGACTCAGAATAAACCGTTATGTTTTTCGTATTCGTCTTTGGTTTTTTTTTTTTTTTTAACCAAGCAGTCTTGCATGCCTCAACAAATCGTGGCTCTCGGTGTTGCGTCACAAAAGCTGCCGGTTTATATAGGCCTGTATGTGGCCAAACTTGAATAACAAAGATATCGGAATTCCTGTGTCATTTCAGTTGTGCTTAAACGGAGGAGTTTTCGGGCGCCGGGATTTCAAGCGTCATCTAAACGAAATTCCTGGCTCGGTCAATCAATATATGATCCTGGTTGTTTGAGTAAAAAATATCTTTCCAAAGGATGATGGATTATTTGTCAAAATTGACGACAAAGGCTTCATGTGGTCCATCACGAGGCTTCCTTTGGGCGAATGAAAGAACTACGTCAAATATTGACTTTTGTGGTTTTCCGTGTTTAAAGTTTCAATCAGTGCGAAATAGCGAGAAACCTGTTATAAATTTAGAACTAGAGTTTACATCGGTTAAATTCTCCACATAGCATTTTTCAAGAAAACTTTAGAAGTACCACTTGTATTCAAGATTCCAAAACTCCAACAACTTAGATATTGCATTTCCTTTCTGCAGGTTTTGTCTCAGATGTTTACAAGGTTGCATGTCTTGATCAGAAACCGGACAAAATTGTCCTTTAAACACAAAG